CTCAGCGTTTGCTACATTCATGTTTGCATGCACCATATCTTTGCCATGCCGCAGCGTTATAGCTTTGCAGATTTGCTTGAGTTGACCTTGTTGTTTGATCGGTTGCCATGCAGTTGTCTGTCGAGTTTGTGAATAACCTGGTGGCTGTACTCAATGTCCTTGCATCCCAAGTTGCGACAGCTCTGGACACCCTGAGCTTTGCCTTGATGACGGAGCGTGGTCGTCCGTCAGACACGGTGGTGATCCCGAGAGCACCAAGAAACTCCAGACATGGGTTGCGGCCCCGCATCATAACGGAGCGCGCCTCGTCTGACAGATCCCGATCCCCCACACGAATTCGGGCTCGACCGGTGGACACGTCATCTACCTGGTACATACCGGCTTTGTCCCCGCCTCGAGCGGCACATCGTGATGCTAGTGACCACAACCCTGGTACTCGGCCCGAATCTATGTTGGATCGACTGCCACCGCCTCGTCCACTTGCTCCCTTCGCTGCACACGGTGGCCGAGAGCCAGGACAAACGACGCCTACGACACCTGATTCGGATTCTGATGGTTCGGTACGTCCGCATCCAGGTGCCTCGTCGTTCCGGCCGTCACCTACGGTGGTTCATGGTCCTAGGGAACTTCTACAAGAATTCACCATTGCACTTCGCAATGCATACCGTGAACCTTTCACGGCATGGACACAGGGTGAGCTGGATGAAATGGTGAGACGGAAGAAAGACAAGGATTCCAGGCCCACCTATAAGACCATAGCTCGGTTTCTTCAGAAGCCGATTGAAGAAGTCAAGCAGGCATGGAAGGTCTATCAACAACTTGAGTCTCGCGGCTAGGAACACGGTCGTCAAATGCAGCCGCGACCATCGGAGGACTAAATGGTAAGCTGCGGCGGTGGGTACGGTTCGAGTTGTTGATCACATGATATTTGCTTGCTTGCATGTGACTTAATCTTGCTTGTCGTTTTGGGAGATGTCGTTGCCATGCAGTGAAGTCATGCCTGAGTTGCTCAAATCATGTCGGAACAAGTTGTACAGACGTACATTACCTGGACCCATGGAGCGCAGCCGACGTGGTTACAATTTCATGGACCCGGGGCTTTACTCGACAGACCCATTCGGCTGACTACGTCGCCTCCGCCCCCGCCAAGTCTGCCATTGCTTCTTCCACCTCCTCCTCCACCACCACCACCACCACCACCGGTGATTCTACACCCACAGTTTATGCCCTCGGTACGCAACCCCTCGATCTCAGCCCCTCGCGGACAATCCTGCCCTACCTCTTTGAAATCGCAGCGCACACGCCGCTCGATCTACAGCACTGACCATTCCCGTGATGAAGAACCACGCAGTCCAGGGCGCTCGTCCAAACGATCTCGGACAGCATCAGCTTCAGCGCCGCGGCGATCTAGACGGCCCTTTACAGTGTTTTCTTCCAAACGTGCTGGCCGTCCATCGCGGTCCCCATCGGCAACTTGCAAGCATTACTGTCATGCCATCCTGCGCCATGGGCGGAAATGTCTTTCCCCTTGTGCTCGCAGACGACCAGGACACTATCATTGCAGGTGTGCGCGACATCAACGACAGTGAAACCTAGGAGTTGGACATTTCAGACCTCGTTGCAGTGTTTCACCTTGAGTTTGAAAAGTTGCCTCACTCTCCAGCGGATGTGTGCAGCTTGCATTGCATGTGTGTCCTTGCCGCAGACTTTCGACTAGGTTAGCAGTCGTGCGAGCCTGTATATTGCTGCTATGAACCCCCAGTATTTCGAGTACCAGATCGATAGAGGAGTGGAATGGATTCGAATTTACTCTCCGGGCATTTGGAGACCCGTTCCCGATGAGGCGCCAGTTCCTGATCCACTTCACGCTTCCACGTATCGGGAGTGGCGCAGATCATTTCGCTTCCAAGTGTTTTGGTCTGAAGACAGCACAGGAGGCACCACAATGCATCCCACAGTCACGCCCACTTCCTATGTGTCCTACCACGTGTGGGAGTACCGAGACTGGCAAACACGAGGGTATCAACGGCTTGGACCTCCTGTACAATCCATCGGATTCGCGATGCTCGTGAACGCAGACGTCGAGTCCTCGGTGGGCTCGTCGGTACCGGATGGAGCGTGGCGGGAACCGTCACCGCCACCATTCCATGACCCTTGGAACGATTCGGATTGACACTTGAGTAGCATGTTGGATAAAGAAGCGGTTGTGCTTGCTTTGTAAGTGAGTACACATTGGGTTGTCTTGCTTGGTGGTGCGCATGCCGTCTCCATGTGTCCGCCGCTTTCCTTGATAACTTTGAGCAGCTTGTCGGGTTGAAATGTTCAATAGTACAGTGCAGGGTGCAGCACGATGGGTCCTACCTCGCTATTTTGACTATGACATCGTCAATGGGCCAGCAGGAACGAGTGTGGAATGGATTCGGATCTATGTACCGGGTCCGTGGCAAACGAGACTGGGCCACAGAGGGCTATCGGAGAGTCGCTGCCCCTCACGCTGGTCATGAATTTGATTCCATGTATCTCCCTGATCATCACAGCGTGGCCACGCAGTCTGCGGCATTGAGTATGTCGCCGGAGCTGTTAGACGCGATTCTCAGGTCCTCGGATGCGGCTGATTTCTCTACTGAAGACCTGACTCGTCTCCAGGAGGGGATTTCTCAACAACTGACGGCTCGCGCACGTCTAGCTTCCCATCCTCATCAACCAGTACGTGCATCGCGTGGAAACACACCATCGGAGACGATTGGGGTCTCCAACCCCTACCGGCCCGTGAATCCTTCCGACAGTGGCGGAAACAAGATGAGTCCCGTCTTCGAGCTGACTCAGGACTAGACTCACATGAGCAGCGCAGCGTACAAAATAAGGGTGGTCTCTACACTTGCATGATCTTGCTTGGTTGTTGTTTGAACATGGTTGTGCGTGGTGCCTGTTCATCTATTAGCTGGATCGGAGCCCGCGACAATCCTTGCCTCTTGCTTCGACATGGACATCGATGATTCGAAGCAGCACCCATGGCTCGAATATTCGGTCTGGCAGGATCAGGAGTGGGTGCGGATATACACTCCAGGACAGCCTCAACGATGGCACCGCGGTGACGCCGTACCTGATCTACCTGAAAATTCCTTTCGGGAATGGCAGCGGGTGACTGATCCCAATGCGCCAGTCCAGGCATGGGACATCCGTGACTGGCAACATAAAGGGTACCAGCGCATTCTGTCTCGGATTGAGTCCTTCGCAACTCACTATCCACATGATCCAGCTCTTGGTCAAGTTCAAAACTCCGATGCCGTTCCAGTTGAGGAGACCTTCACCTACGCCACTCCATTTTCTCATGGTGATCGCCCGGCTGCTTCGCAAATCGCTTCAGTCCTCTATGGCGACACTCGCAACGCTCAACGTGGTGATCTCTCGTTCCCGTCTTCTGAGCGGTTTAGGGCGGTGTCCCGCTCCCCTCGCCGTGGAGGATATTTTGGTCAACGATAGAGATTCGAGTTTGAGCATGTGATCTTCCTGCAGGAGAAAAGAGAAACCTCGCCCCTCGTAGAGGGGCGTGTGTGTGCGGAGTGGCAGAAAACCCTGCCACCAAAACCTCTTTCTGTTGCAGCAGGGGGACCAGGCGTCTTGCTGCTGACCTGGTCTAACAAAGCTAGGCAGCAAGACGGGATACCGGAGTTGGCCACTCCGGCGTACCTGCATTTCCGTGATGCCGTGATTCTGAAAGTCCTTTTGGCCCCCTTGGTTGCGGCGCTGTTTGTGCTTCTTGTTCTTTCGGGTAACGTGTTCGCTGCTAGAGGGAAGCCGAGTGCATCGCGAGCAGAACCCAGTCGAGACTCACCAGTTGTACTCGAGACTCACCAGTTGTACTCGAAAGATTAGCACTCTCCATCTGGAGTTTAAGTGTGTGTGTGTGTGTGTGTGTGTGTGTGTGTGTGTGTGTGTGTGTGTGTGTGTGTGGGTGGGTGGGTGCGTGCGTGCGTGCGTGCGTGCGTGCGTGCGTGCGTGCGTGCGTGCGTGCGTGCGTGCGTGCGTGCGTGCGTGCGTGCGTGCGTGCGTGCGTGCGTGCGTGCGTGCGTGCGTGCGTGCGTGCGTGCGTGCGTGCGTGCGTGCGTGCGTGCGTGCGTGCGTGCGTGCGTGCGTGCGTGCGTGCGTGCGTGCGTGTGTGTGTGTGTGTGTGTGTGTGTGTGTGTGTGTGTGTGTGTGTGTGTGTGTGTGTGTGTGTGTGTGTGTGTGTGTGTGTGTGTGTGTGTGTGTGTGTGTGTGTGTGTGTGTGTGTGTGTGTGTGTGTGTGTGTGTGTGTGATTTTGTTTATTATTATTTTTCCGGGGACACCCAGGAAATCACAAGAACCGACTCCAACTCCACTAACCCGAACGGGCTCCTAGAGACCCGCGCAGCTGCTCTCACGCACGGGCGAAAACGGACTGCCGCCTGAGATGCTTCTCCTTCTGCATCCTTCAAAGGGAAACCACTGGGAAACCATGGGTTTTTGGTGGTATTTACAGGGGAATCATCACACACCAGGGCTATTTGCCGAAACTGGAGGGACATGAAAGAACGACACCATGGAAGAATGTGAAATGGCTTCAGCATGGCCAGCTCTGCCATTTCGTGGCAATTTGTGAACCCCTTGACCCTCATATCTTTTGCGACGTCTTGAAAACGGGCGCCATCCTGGCCAGGAAACTGCGCTTCTTGCAATTACGTTCGCCTTCCCGGTGGTGAAGCTCCCGCTGTTTTGAGATTCAAATGCAATTCTTGCTCTTTGGGGTCTTTGCTGGCCTGTGTAGTTGCATGTATGTTCTAGAGGTTGATTCCCCATTCTTTTTAACCATCGTTCTTTTCAAACACCGGCTGTGTCCAACCTGGATTTTTGATGGCTTCCTGAAAAGAAGGATCCCTGGAAAGAATGGAAATGGAAGGTACCCCTGGATATGTACCCTTGCACTTGACCTTGGTGCGAGAAAACGCCGACCTCGAACCCGACTGGCTTGCCAAGGCGCCGCAGGCACGTCGAAGCAGCGGTCCTTCAGCTTCTTCCACAGCCGATCCAGCCTGAGGCATATTTGTGTGTGTGTATTTGGGGGTGCAATATGGTCGTGGGTCCAAAATAGGTACCCAAAATGGATCCCTGGTAAATTGAAGCCAAACTCCGAAGGAGCGGAACTCAGGATTCAGAACCCTTAGGCAGAGTCCCATTTAGATTTGGGTATTTGGGGGCATCCGTATGGCTGTGGTTCTCCAAAATAGGGTAACCCCAAAATGGATCCCTGGTAAATGGAAAGGACATTCAAACCTGCGGTCCAATTCCTGGTGGCTAATTGTTGAACCATACCCATATGCCTGGCCTCCAATTGACCATGAGTAACTTTCCCCATGTGCTTGAAATATCGAATCTTTTTTGTGGTTTCCCAATGGTCATCCCATGTATTTCAAGGACCTTTTGAACAAAACCTCCCCCTCCCCCCCCCCAAAAAAAAAAGGATGGCAACCCCTGGCCATTTTAGCAAGCACACGCTCCAGGTCTGTGGCGGTCATTGGATCTGACTTCCACAAGTGCCTCTGAATTCATGAAATGAGCGGCTTGTTTGATGGCTCCCTTTCTTGGTTGGCTTCCCAGGAATCTAGGGGTTGAATTCCCATTCTTTTCAACCATCGTTCTTTTCAAAAACCGGCTGTTTCCCCTGCGTTTTGAATGGTTTCCTGAAAGAAGGATCCCTGGAAAGAATGCCTAGAAGGAAGCCAAAGGGGAAACTGTCCCCCTGTTTTGGCACATACCCGTTGAATCAAAAAGGCGACGCACTCGACTCGGGGCAGCCAAAGCAGCGGGATGTAATTTCATCCACCAATGCGGGAAAGCGTCATCCAATTCGGGACAATGCGACTTCCGGGGTCTCGGTGTTCGCATCCAATTGTTCTACTACGTGTAGGTCACCAACGTCTTCGTCTTTCTTCTTGGTTCTTTAAAGGGTGCTTCCCTTGGTTCCCTTGCTTTTGGGGTCAAATGGATAGGTCACCAACGAGTATGTCTCTTGGTGCTTAACGGCTGCTTCCTACTTGGGTTCCTGGTCTTGGAATCAGCTGCGAGGTTTCCCAGAAAGGGTTTCCCTATGAATTCAACTGGGTTTCACAGGGTTTTTCCCCATCGGTTTGACAACCCTCGCAACCAGTGGGGTTTCCCCACAGGTTTTTCCCATCGGCTTGACCACCACTGGGATTTGACATATTTTTGTCTATATACTGCACATGGAACCCAAAGGGGGCTCTCTTGATTAATAAATCAATGATTTCTTTAGACATAGATGAGGCAACTGAAGAAAGATTGACAACTTGTCGCTGGACAGAGCCAGGGAGCAATACGCTATCTGAGGAGTGAGCCTTCACAGAGCTCGGGCGTACATTGGGTTGGGCTACTCTTACCAAACCCGTTTTCAGGTTCCTTTCAAAGTTCATCCTGACGTCGAAACTGTCGTTCAGATACATGGAAACAGAATTGATATTTTCTTTTCGCGGCGTTTCTCTCCATGTTTTTTTTGCAAGATGCAGTCGCGGTTAACACCCGCCTGGTCAGCGCAAGGTCCTTCTGAAAACACTCGGAGATGCTGGCCTCTGTGTCTCTCCGGTAGTCCTGTGTAGCCCGGCCCTTCGAAGCCAAACACATTGCGAGTTCGAAACCGAAACAGGGCGCTTGCCTCAACAAGGGGTAAGATCAGGTTCAAGGCTTCCCTAGCCATGGGAAATGAATGCCCCTGCGTCATTCATGGCTAGTCGCTAGTCTCTAATGGTCACCAGGTTTCAACGACTCCAGCTTTGTCTTGTCCCCAAAATGGCCCAAAATGGCGCCCTTTTGGCTTCGGCTTTTCTACACCGACTTCCTTCAGCGCGAAACATCGACATCCCCAAATTTGCCAGGAGAGGCACCCCCCTCCCTTTTCGTAGGCGTGACACATTTTGTACTTAATTGCTGTTGATTTCTGTGCAAAAGGTGTTTCACTGTTCGTAGTTCCAGTGGAAAATCCGAGCTGCTTCTTTTCCCTCCTTTGAACGGTGGTGTTCCTCAAATGGTCCTCCCCCAAAAAGGTAATTCCTCTTTCCAAACTGCCCCCCAAAACTTGCTGGTGCTCAGCAGGGAATGAGGGAATCACCGCCTCTCAAGCATCCACTATGGCTTCTTATTGAGAATCCCCAAAAGGCTCGTTCGCAACACCCGAAAGGTCATTCCCTACTTATCGCAGCAAATAGGGTTGGTTCCCTTTTCCTTGGGCCTCTATTATTGGTGCTCGTGTCCTTTTCCCTTTGGCTTACAACCAGCAAGAAAATGGACACACTGGGCTGTCCGATTCAGATCCCCTGCGGAAACTTTAATTTTCAGTGGGTAAATGCGGAACTACTAAGCCAACTAAAGAGATCTAAAACCCAAGTTGAACCAGACGACTAAAGAGATCTAAAACCTTCTAGTGGGTTGAATACGGAAACCGAACCACTAAACCAAGGGAATCCAACCGGCAACCACTGCCATGTTAACCACCCAACCCAACTAAAGAGATCTAAACGCCCCAAGTTGAACCGGACGATTCCTGGGGCGCCAAGGAAAGTCGGACTCGTCTCCTTGAACACGGAGCGCTGGAAGCTCCAACTGCGCTTCTTCCGGCCCTCCGTGAGGGTGCGGGGCGGCATCAGGTTCTGGCGCTGCCGCGGGTCCTTTTGGGCGTTTGTACGGTCCCAAAAAGGGCGCGAAGGGGCGGCTTAACTGGGCTGTCCGATTCGGATCCCCCGCTAGAAGTGACTAACTTTTTGTGGGTTAAGTACGGAAACGACCACCAAACACTAAAAGGCTACAAAGCTATGGCTGAGAGCCACCAAGTTAAGTTTGAGCTGGTAACCCCCCGTGTTTGGTGAGGTTTAAAATTTGGACACCAGGATCGAATTTCTGCAGATGTTTGCTTTCTTGTAGGGCGGCAAATGGCACATGATGGGTTCAGTCAACCCCTTAGCATGGGGCCTGGAGAGGGAGGGGGAGGGAGGGAGGGAGGGGAGGAAGGGGAGGGAGGGGAGGGGAGGGGGGGAGGGGAGAGGGGGGGAGGGGAGAGGAGGGGAGGGGAGGGGAGGAGGGCAGGGGAGGGCAGGGAGGGCAGGGAGGGCAGGGCAGGGCAGGGGAGGGGAGGGGAGGGGAGGGCAGGGGAGGGGAGGGGGAGGGGAAGGTCCCTTTGCTTATGTTTCAGGCTGTTTCTCCATGAAACCCCGAAGTCTGAGGGGCGAATTCAATTCGAGGGGGGGGACATGAGGTTATGTTTGTGCTTACCCACATTGATTCGAGGATGGCGATGCCTGGCGCCGAGGTTTGGCAAAAGCCAAACACTGGGCCGCAGCGTTACATCGATTCGGGCGCGCGGAGAACATCGAAAGCCTGGCTTACCTCAAAGCTTGGGGCTGGCCCGGGAAAAAAAATCGAGCCCCAAAACCTTCTTTTTGCGGATCTTCTCCTTGAGGATTCCACTCTTCACTCCGTTTCATCTCCGGGGGCTGAGCTTCAAGGAACCCGGCCCAAAGGACACTGGAAAGCTGAGGTTGGTCAACCTAAAGGGGCTGAACATTTTTTTAGGGACCTGAAAGGACCAGTCTTTTAAGTCGAAGTGTTACCCGGTTTGACACCCGTGGCACAGCCAAAGGTACCTGTCCCAGAGAACGGGGAAGTGGTAAACTTAGAGCTTCTTCCCCCATGAACCTCCCAAATGATCCATTGACAAATCCGGCAAAAACATCACCGAACCCCACCCAAATGCGAGGGATCACGATCCCCTAATTTGGACAGGGCTCCTGGAAAACTAACACATCACCCCAAGGCAGACGCACTTTGGGGGCCAAAGGGCGAAGCCTAACAAAACAAAAAACAGAAAAGGGCATGTCGCCCATCCACTCACTTCCGATTGAGTGGATAGCCCAGAAAAAGTGATCATTTTGTTTATTTACTTCAGCCAACCCCCAAAAGTGACCAAAGTCCGAAACTTTCTTAAGCTACCACTAAAAGTCGTGCAACCCACCCCAAAAAGTGACTAAAGTCCGAAACTTGTCTTTAGTTGACCACTAAAATGGTCCAACCAACCCCCCAAATGGCCATGGGTCAAAATCCAGTACACCTAGTGAACATCACAATCCCCACTAAAATAAACCAAAATGAGTGGTGCACCTACCCCAAAATGGTACCATTGGTTTTGACCCACAGCCAAATGTAAAAAAACAAAAAAACACCGTGCGCAACAGAACTCGATACCCCCGCAGCGAGCCAGCCACCCGTGCTCCAAACATCTGGTGGCGTTAGCCCATGTCCTCCAGCAGGAAGAGCGAGTCCATGGCATCACCCTCGAAGATCTTCCTCGCGGAGGTCTGCACCTCAGCAAAAAAAGAAGCCGCCAGAGCTGCCGGCCCGAAAAAAGGATGGGTCTCCTTTGGTTTCCCTTAAAACCAGCCAAAATGGGGTGCCACACAAAAGACGTGCAACTTTTGTTGATACCATCTATGATGCAACCATCATCAGGGCTATTGCAGACGACCCCTCAAAACTCAGAACCTTTCCGCTCGACTCTACCTGGGGGTGTCTTTCTTTTGAGTGTACCCCCTTTGCTTGGATTCAAAGGGATGCCAACAGGAGAACTCTAGGGGTTGATTCCGCGAAAAAAGGAAGTGGCCATGGGTTGCCTAACCTATGGCGAGCCACTTTGGGGTGGATGAACATCCACTTGCCACCTAGTTTGATGTTCACCTGGGGTACAGGGTGTTTACGGGTATTTCTAGGGTTGAGTCCGGGTCCATTCTTTTCAACCATCGGTTCTTTTCAAGCACCGGATCTGTTTCCAACCAGGGTTTTGGGTGGTTTTTTAGAACCATCCGGATGCCTGGGTTCAGAATGGAAATGGAAGGTACCCCTAGAAGGATAGCCGGCACCCAGGAGAGGCGGGAGCATGGGTCTGGGTGATTCTGGTTCCATTCTTCTCAACCATCGTTCTTTTCAACCAACCAGTCGGTTTCACTTGGTTTTTTGGAGGTTTAAGAAGTATCTCTGGAAAGGATGGGCAAGGTATTTGTAGAGGTCTATAATTTTTGAGGCGGCACCCTTTTTTGTGGGATGGCTTTAAAAGGGGACACCCAAAGGAACACCGAAACCATTTTGGGGGTCTAAAAAAAAAAAAACATATGACCCTGAATGGTTTTTTGCTGGCCACTAATCACTAATAATTCCTAGGCTGACAGACTCCCCCTCAGTTTCCCACGGAGCCCGGGAAGACATGCCACCGCCCTGCGGTTCACCTAGAGGTAAGAGATCTGAGTTTACAGTGAGAAGCCACCAAGGCGGCAAAGGAGACTCTGGCGTCAAGAAGCTCTCTGCCCGTTTTAAGCATCACCTGTTCGGCCGGGCCGGTGATGTTCCTTAAAACTGATGCTAGAGCCCGCATCCCAACTCACACACATCCGAATCAATAAATCCTGCGCTCCCGATATTTCTTCCGGATACATCAACCCACCAAAAGGAAAGTCACGTTTAGAGCGTGGGACGCTGTGGAGGCCTGCGCTTTTTTAGTGAAGTTTGTGTTCTTCCATCAAAAACCTAGGTTTTTCATGTAGCACTTTTAAAATCGGATCAAAAGATGACGTTTGAAGCCATAAGATAGACGGGACATATAGTGAGCCCTGCTTGCCGGGCGTCGTCGATCTCGTTGGCCTCCGTGATCTCATCAGCGCCTCGAACTGTTCCACGCAAAAGCGGGGGGACCGAGGGGTCCAGAAAATCCACCCGCAGGGGTTGAAGAACATGGAAAGTGGGCAACCAGTTCCAGCACTTTCACTCGCACTCTTGGTGGCTTGGCCATGAAATTCCAGTGGAAAGGCGGAATTCAGCCCTACGCTTGGCACGTCTGGTTTCCTTGTGGGCCTGAGTTGCCTAGGTCTTGTTCAGGTGAGCGGTGAAGCTTCCACGCCAAGGACTCGGCATGTCGGCATCGGTCGCTTTTTTGGGGCCAGTCCCCTAAAAAAGAAAACGAAAAAGTCAAATGCTTGGTCCGTGTGAGTTCTGCTCCCAATCCCAAGGGCCCCAGGGCTATGAATCATGAATCATGGCGGGTGAAGTTTTCTTGGAAACCCCACTCAACCAGCCAAAGCATCGGGGGAAAAAAAAAAAAGGCCCCGGGATCGCCCCCTGGGGTTCCCGAGTCATGTCCATTGAGTCACGAATGAGTCATTCGTCATTCGTCCTTCGGATCCCTGGGTTCCAACCCGTCAACCCGTGCTCCTTACATTGGGGTTGCCATCTCTACTCTTGGTATGGTAGCAAAAAACTGACTGTTTTTTGCGGATCCCCAGTAAAAATGAACAGAACCAAAAAAACTAAAAAACTAAAAACACATGCCAAGAACAGTGAAGTTGCGAGAAGGGAACTGGAACTTCCCCAAGAATAATGATTGCCGCTCTACCGTCTTGATTCCGTTTGAAGAGTCAAAGGTTTTCGTTCTTATCAATCCCTCAAGCCATGGCCCTGTTCGATCAGTTGGGTTGCCCGCTCTGAAAAGCTCTGGTTTCATTCCGCATCTTGTTGTTTCTTGTTTTCGTGTTTTGGTTTGTTGTTTGTTTGTTTTTTTTTTGGGGGGGGGAGGGGGGGGGGCACCAATGATCGTTGCCATTCACATCCGCAAAGGAGGTGCATCCCTGCAAAACCACCTCAGAACCACACAGACAACCACCAAACCAGCACAAACCGGGGTTTAGTCACGGGTTAATTTATCACCATCATTTACCTTTCAGGGACTTTAGATCATCCAAATTGGGTTTTTATTTCAAGGCCATTCTTTTAATAGAGGCAAGTTGAATCCTAAATACAACACCCACCCAAAGCCGCCCCCAAAACCGCAACGCCACCACTCTAGCGGACACTTCCCCATTCTTTTCAGGCATCCTTCTTTCCAGAAAACCACCAACACCCCTGGTTGGAAATGGCGATCGGTTCTTGAAAAGAACGATGGCTGAAAGGAATGGACAAGGAATCAACTCCAATTGACCCATGTCCTTACAGAATTCCGATTGCTAGCTCAGTGCCCTCCTTTGTGTCCTTAGTGCCCTAGAAAGGAATGGACAAGGAATCAAGGAATCAACCCAATCGGGCGCGGCTCAAAATTCAAAGGCTGGGCTTACGCAGGTGCTAGTCTTTCCATTTACCAAGGTGCCATTTTTTGGTACTCCATTTGTTGGAGCCACAGAAATCCCATTGACGTCTGACGTCTCTCAGGTGCAAAGCTCCCGCCTACTTGGGCATAGAAAGCCGCCTTCGGCAGGTGCTCCCCCACTCGCACCACGCCGTCCACCTCGACGTTGCACGGGTCGCGGAAAAAAAAATCACATCGCGGGGGGGGGGGGGGTTCGGTCGGCGCAAAAGGGAGGCAACCCATGAAATGCGGGCCCTTTAAGGTTCGGCCTGAAAAAAATGGCATGGCAAGCAACAGAAGCCAGGTAGACAGACATGGGAAGCATGGGACATTTCAGGAATCTCCCCTCCAGACAGAAAGGGAACAATGGGACATTTCAGGCATCTCCCCTCCAAATTGGAAGAGGCAGAGAGCAGATCGCTTCCGACCAACCGACCAACCCAGCCCCGCCTGAAAAACCACGTGGATGCGTTCGTAGCTGGGTGGCAGCATGCGGCTGCCCAGGAAACACAGCAGGCGGCCGTTCTCCAGCACGGGGCGGCGGGCCGGCCTCTTCAGCGTGTTCTTTCTTGCGGAGCAGAGACCAGAAGGAAAGCCAAAAACGAAACGCATGGACCGCAAACAGGGTAAGGGGGGGGTTACACCGCATGGCCCGTGAGCAGGGGCAAGACGCGGGCTTATCTTATGGTCTGGGCCGCTTTGCTTGCCAGCTTCTGAGTACTGCAAGCCCTGAGCAAAAACAACACTTGGTCTAGCCAAAAGGTTGGTGGAGCCGAGCAGTGGAGGGGGGGTGAGCATGGACTATGGAGTGTGCAGAGCAGGAATTGCGGAAGAGCACAGGATGGCGAGCGGAGAGTGGGGAGTGTGCGGACTTTGGGATGCAAAACCGGTGGAGTGGACTGCCGGAAGTGGAGGCTGTGGAGTGGAGGCTGTGGAGTGGAGGCTGTGGAGAGTGTGGCGTTCAGGTGTGTGGTGAGTGGACACAGAGTAGAGTGTGGAGCGGAGCTGAGCGCAGTGGAGAGGAGTGGAGAGGAGTGGAGAGGAGTGGAGAGGAGTGGAGAGGAGGAGAGGAGAGGAGAGGAGAGGAGAGGAGAGGAGAGGAGAGGAGAGGAGAGGAGAGGAGAGGAGAGGAGAGGAGAGGAGAGGAGTGGAGAGTGAAGACAAAAGAGTGGAGAAGGGAGCGCAGAGTGTAAAGTGTGGAGACGCGCCACGAAACAAGCATGCATTTGACCAAACTTGCTCCAGCTAAAAGCTGACTATAGCGGCACTGATGGTTTGCTTCGAAGACAGCTATGCTGCCCTTTGTGGATTTTCACATCCTCTTGAATATTGATGATCCTTTTGCATAGCAATTCATCAGATCCTTTTGCTGTCCAATTCCTCACATAGATAGTGACGAGGGTGCCGGAACAAATTTGCCATTCTGGAAGACATCCGGGCGCATCTGCTCGCGCCCTCCCTCGCTTTGCTCCAAGTAGCTCCGACTCCGCCACCTGAGCGAGAGACGCGAGCGGAAAAGATTCCGAGTGTCATCACAAGCTGAAAGGAGGTCCCTTCTGGACTTCAAGCCAAGCACGTGGCCCTTGGGTCAAAACCAATGGGATCCCATTTTGGGGCAGGTGAATTCACCACCCCTTTTAGCCTTTTTTAGTGGTTGGATTGGGATGATCACTTTGGGGGTACGATTTGGATTTTGACCCATGGCCCATGTGGGTCTAGTGTCTATCATCTAAGGAATCCCAAGCCCGTGGCCTGTTTTGAGAAAATGGATTAGACTGGCTGCTTGGGACCAGGTGGGAGGCAGCCCACTTATAACCATTTTCAGTGGTTTGAACCGAGTGGATGGCGGGGTGTAGTGGACTTCGGCTGGAACAGTGCCACGCGTTAGCATACAATCCCACCAACGCACATGAAACTCCATCCTTGCATCGTGGGTGGACGGGGAAAGGGAAGAGGCTGGAGAGCACAATCACACGCAAGAGAAAGAGAAGGAAGAAGCTTCCACGCCCATCCCTTTCTCACCAAGCTGGGTATGGATTTTGCCCGCCGGAGGTGGGAGAGCTTGATTGGCAATATTGAATCGTTTCTACCTCGCAATCTAAAAAAATCAAATCCTAAATTCAGAAAACTACCAGCCATCTACAAAAACATGGACCTTTTTTTCTCCAAGCATGAAAGTGCGCAGTGCCCCTTTCCGAAAGGGAAGGTTCCAACAAACATATCCCAACTCTTGTCCGTTTAGATCGCCAAGCCGGTTTTCTCCACAGTTACAAAGCTCTCATGCGTTCACCAGGACAATGAGAATGAAAGCAGCTGGCCATCCAGTTTGGGTCAGAGCCGCCAAGGCTTCCCAGATCGTCACCATATGACCCAAAGCATCCATGTTGCTTTCACTTGGTTGACGTTGGAAGGGGAGCAAAAAATCGGTTTAGCAGTTCAGTGGTTGGATTTCAGCCACTAAACCAAATAAGCAAACATGTAAAATGTGTCCCAACAACAACCATGTTCATGCCGGGGCTGGTTCTCTTGGCCACTCACTGGGCCAGTACCTTGTGATACCAAAGTCAGCCATCCAAGTTCTGGCACGGGCCTTGGGTTTTTCTGTGGGTTGGTTTGGATAGGGAAACCAGAAGCAAACCTAGGTCCTCAGTGCAGAGGTTAGAATAAGGGTACCAACTTTTTTTTTCTGTAGTCTATTTTAGTAGGGGAACCCTCCCCCAAAAAAGGGTAAAAGGGCACTACTGGGGACCTTGTAACCACTCTAAAGGCTCTCCTGACTTTTTTCAGAGCAAACCCTGGCTTCTGGACGGGCGAGTTTCACACCAAGTTGAGCAATTTCTTAGCCCTTCTGGCAGGGGCCCCTTGAACAAGGTTCAACGATAACTAGTGAGACCCTTAATGTCTTAAAATAGGCGGCCCAAAAACATGTGGTGTTCTCTTCGGCTTCTCTTGAAGGCTGTGGCTCAAAACAAGCCGGTACCAAAATGGGTTGCCCTGGTAAGTGGACATATGGACCAAAACCTGCGTAATTAACCCCTCCGAGCGTTTAATTTTGAGCCACACCCAAAAGGGTACCATCAAAAACGATCATCCAAATTGTTTGAAAACCCCAAAGAGTGCCATCAGTTGAAAAAGGACCCAACTATGTGCCATGGGTTAAAGCTCTTTATATGGCCTTCTGGCCATGACCCTTTCTTCAGAAGGCTTATTGTCAGCTGGATCCTTGCCAGGATGACCATCCTTGTGAACTCCAAGGAAACTGGGCTGCCCATTTTCAAATCCCCTTCGAAAAGTGAATAACTGTTAAGGGGTTACAACCACTAAACCAACTAGAAAGCTAAAAAGCCAAGCAACCGGACAGGTGGGAGCCACCCAGTACAACCGGTCAAAGGAGTCACAATCAAGACCCGGTATTCAAATGGCATTGGTTGGCGAAGGTCATACAGTTGGCGAAGTGGTATTTGTTGGCCAATTGAGAGGTGCAACCCCGGAACCTGACCTTCGGGACTGGCGAAAAGCCAAAAAATCAGGCCGAGGGATGGTTGTGAAATCCAGAAATCCGGAAATCGCCAGAACCGAAAGTAAAGAATTGAAAAGGTGGGTGTCCGCACCCATTTATGGCAAGGGGATTGTCCCTTACTAGCCCTCATCTACCCGCAGATTGGATTGCCATTCAATTGACCATGGCACACATTGTGGATGGTTGCGAAATCCAGAAATCGCACCACAGGGTTTCCATGTGAATGAAACCATCGGGGGATCGCATCAGAAACCAGGGTTTCTTAGGTGACACCACCTACGAAACCCTGGTTTCTGATGATTCTTCAATGTAAATACCAACCAACGTTATGGTTTCAACCATGTTTTCCAAGTGGTGCGAAATGGACTTCGTCCATCCACAGTATGTGCATGGTCAATTGAATGACAATCAACACCCCGTGTACGGGAAGGTTAGGAAGGGACAATCCCCTTGCCATAAACGGGTGCAATTTGACCAGATTCACGTGCTCAACACCTGTGTAGATGAAGGTGAGGGACAATCCCAGCCAGAATTGGGTGCGGACATCCGCGTTTGTAGTTGGCAATCAAATTGAGCGGCGATCAACACCCGAGGCAATTGGAGGGTAAGGAGAAATATCAGCCAGAATTGGGTGCGGATATCTTATATATATATATATATCCATTTTGTGCATGGTTCTGGGTAGACCATTTACTCAATTGACCGGTTCCTTTCGGTTCCTTAGCTTTTTTTTAGCTTTTTAGTTGGTTTAGTGTTGGGTTTAGTTTATTTATCCACGAACAGTTACACTTTGAGCAGGGGATCTGAGGGCAGCCCAGTTTGGGGCTAACAGGGATGGTCATCCAGCTGGCAAGGATCCAGCTGACAATTATAAGGATTCCTATGAACATAACCATGACGATGAGGTCATACAAGGGAGTCTTGACCATGGCACAGATGGATCTGATGGTACCCTTTGGGTATCCTTGGGTGATCTCTTTCTTGGATGGTGCCCTTTTGGGGTTGGCCTCAAGAGAAATCGAAGGGAACGCCCACATTTTTGTTGGGCCCCCTATTGTAAGACACTCATTTATCAGGGGCTCACGAGTTGTAGTTGAAGCTTGTCCAAGGGCCCGCTGCCAGGAGGGCTAAGAAATTGCTCAACTTGGTGTGAAACTGGCACGTCCAGAAGCCAGGGTTTGCTCCCAAAAAATCATGAGAGCCTTTAGAGTGGTTACAAGGTCCCCAGTAGTGCCCTTTTACCCTTTTTTTGGGGGAGGGTTCCCCTACTAAAAATAGACTACAGGAAAAAGTTGGTACCCTTATTCTGACCTCTGCACTGGAGGACCTAGGTTTGCTTCTGGTTTCCCTACCCAAACCAACCCACAAAAAAACCCAAGGCCCGTGCCAGAACTTGGATGGCTGACTTTGGTATCACAAGGTACTGGCCCAGTGAGTCCGTGGTTCGGCCAAGAGAACCGGCCCCGGCATGAACATGGTTGTTGTTGGGACGCATTTTACATGTTTGCGTATTTGGTTTTGTGGCTGAAATCCAACCACTGAACTGCTAACATTTCCGATTCTTTGCTCCCCTTCCAACGTCAACCAAGTGAAAGCAACATGGATGCTTTGGGTCATATGGTGACGATCTGGGAAGCCTTGGCGGCTCTGACCCAAACTGGATGACCAGCTGCTTTCATTCTCATTGTCCTGGTGAACGCATGAGAGCTTTGTAACTGTGGAGAAAACCGGCTTGGCGATCTAAACGGACAAGAGTTGGGATATTTTTTTGGGGAACCTTCCCTTTCGGAAAGGGGCACTGCGCACTACGGTCCATGTTTTTGTAGATGGCTGGTTGTTGTTGGGACGCATTTTTGCCCTTTGGCTTTAACCCAAGCCCCAGAGAGACACGTTTCGCGCCGCGACGACTTTCCGATTCAAGTCCCGATGCAAGCCGCGGGCCTGGAAGTCCCGCGCCCAGAAGCGCTCCAGGCTGCGGGTCATGCGGCTGGGCCTCTGCGCTTTCCGCTTTGGGCCAGGCAGGAAGTACGCAGAGGTGTGGATAAATATATAAAGGTATATATAAAGGTATATATATATATACATGACTCACTTCCCAAGATATACATATATATATATACATATGTATATATATATACATGTATATATATATACATATGTATATATATATGCCTCACTTCCCGAGCTATATATATATATATATGCATATGACTCACTTCCGAGTGGATGGCCCCGAAAGAAGTCACCAAACTTGTCCCATTTACCACTACAATGGTCTGTCCAGTAAGTAGAAAGTATACATTAGTATATATATATATGTATGTCACAAGTGTATACATGTACATATGCTCTTTCCCTCATGCTAGCTGCAGCTCCCCTGTTTGTGTCTTTGGCTCGGTCCCCTGGTAATGTTGCGGCTGCGCATGTCCAACAGGTTGCAAATATTTTGCAATGCACCAACAAGCACACAAATGAAACACAACAACAAACATGAAAAGAACATTCCCAGCCACCTGGGCTTCGGATTGTCTTTTGGATTTCCGGTCCGGTCAGAAGTACGGTTTTGCGAATCTTTGCCTTACCATAACCGTGCCTCTTGTTTTTGGGAGCTCCCGTTCCGGAGCTTCTCTTTCCTGCCTATGGTTGTTGAGAGCTGAACTTGCTCGAGTTTGAGAGATCCAAGATTCAAGATGCGGGAAAACATGTGGGGAATCTTGAATCTTGAATCCAGATTGCTTTAAAGTTGCGCTTCTCAAGATTCAGGATTCAAGATTCTGAAGAAATGTGTCTGGGGAATCAAATGCAATCCTGGTAAGTTTTAGGAGTGGGTGGCATATACATATGCATGTATGCATGTGTATATGTGTCTAAATATATCATTCACATCCTTTAAGGGCCTAGACAATTGGCAACTGGAATGGGAGGGGGTTAGTACTATGTCTTCTGCAATAGGTGTAGGTGTGTGTGTGTGTGGGAGGTGTTGCACATGATATTCACAAGAATTGTACACTCCCAGTGTCAAAATAGATCCAAAGTAGGGTTAAACCCCATTTTTGGCATAACACAATCTGACAAGTTGACATCAAAATAATGGACATAAGCATATGTATATTCAAATATCTCTAGTGGGGTAAACCCCACTCTGTCTACATATCCATGATGGCGATAAACCCCACTTACTCACAGCGACAATAACCTTGTCAATAGAAGGTTTCACTTTCCCTGGAATCTGAATCTCATGTAACATGTAGGTAGCAAAGGGCATCAACACATACTTGTTTGACCCCTTGTTCGGCGGAGGACTCACGTGCCGGTCCTGTTCGGAGTAGCCAAGCCTGGGCTGTCCCCGCTAAAAGGGACTAACTTTTAGTAGGTTAAATACGGAAATCCAACCACTAAACACTAAAAGGCTAAAAAGCTAAGGAACCGGATGGCTGGGAGACGCCAAGAAACTGTTCTTGCATGTTCTGGCCATCCGCGGCCCGATCTCCCAAGCTGTCGCCAGTTGCTCGTCACCTTTGGCCCTTAGGGCAACCAAAGGGAGGGTATGTACAACAGCTGCTTGAGCCTTTAGGTGAGTCATAATCAAAACCCGTTATTGAAATGGTCTACCCAGAACAACGTAAAGATTTAAACAGGCGGCGGCAGCTATTTCTGGTGTGGATTGCCCCTTACTACCCTCCAATTATCCGGGTTTTGATTGTGGCTCAAGTGGTTCCCAACCCGTACACAGCGGGCGAAACAATGAATCTTACGATCATGACTTAATTCGGTTCGACAGGACCCCACAAACCCACTTGAATGATTTAGGCCCTTGGAAAGCCATTTAGAAACAAAGTAATCAAGGAGCATCTAGATTTCCGGGGTGTGCCTCCAAAATCACCTACTAGAAAGGAGGGTCATGACTTAATTTCATTCGAAAGTGCATTTCACTGATTTCGGCAACGAGGGCACCCCGGTGCAACTCCTGGGCCGATGTGAAACGATGCGTTGGCTCGGAAGGCCTTGTGAAGCCATCCACACTGAAGTAGGCGAAGACCTCTTGGGCCTCGTCGGGCCCGGACCAGCCTGTGCGTGGCGGCGGCTCGGCTCCGGCTTTTCCTCAGGAACTTGCCTTCAACACGACCACAACAGGGCACCTCAAACAAGCAGACACCCACACATAGAGAACCATACAGATTAAATAGAGAACCTAACTTGCTGCTGCGATAGGCGGGGAATGAGAAATGAAAAAATGACCCCGAGAAAAATCATCTCTTGCTTGCGGCTTCCTTTTTTCGAGAATCTCCAGT